TGAAGACCAGACGAGCCGCTGCATTCTGGATGAGCTGCAGAGTGTGTTTGGAGATAATTCATTACACTATTATACATTATTATTATTATATTCTATTTAGCCCAACAATATAGTTAATTTCAATCACTAGCTTGGGTCAAATAAACAACTCAATGTATGGTTTATATTTATTTAACCCAGTGATGTAGTTAATTTCAATCACTAGCTTGGGTCAAATAAACAACCCCGCACATGGGTTAAAATGATCCAGCCCAGCATATGGGTTAAGACAACCCAGCGTGTGTTCTGTCCTATAGTGACTCAGCAGTTGGGTTATGATTGGGTTATTTTTTAACCCAGTAGTTTTAAGAGTGTACTAATTAACAACCTCTCCTGCTATAGATGATGTTGCTGCACTGAGACGAGCAAAAGCAATACTGTATTGTTATGTGCATATAGGTCAACAAATGCTTAACCTATGCAGGAGGATATAAAAAAAAGCATGCACAAAAACAACATATTGCTAAGATAGGGGCCCTAATGTATGCTTCGGTAATGGCAGCTGTGACATTCATGGATCAAAGTCCACACCAGGTGCTCCCTGGACAGCTGCTCCTCCAGCATGTGTGCAATCTGTTCACTGATGAATCTGTGCCTGGTGAACTTCTCTGGATCAGTGCTTACAGTCTTAATGCAGTTGTTTTTCAGCTCCACACCATTATTGACTCCAGTGAGAGGTGAAGCAGAGGGAAATCAAGGGGCCTTGTATGCTAACACACCAGTAAGCTAAAGCTGTAGGCACCAGAGTAGCATGATGAATTGTGCTAAGCATTAAATGGACTGTGACACAACATATTGATTCCTCCATGACTAAGCACATTTGGGTGTCCCTGTGTGGCAGGTGGACCTTGAGTCTGAGGGATGTGATAACTCTGTGTGATGCTGCGGTGCTCAGTCTTCATGATAAACACAACAGCAACATCATGCTGTCATCACTCCACAACAGTTTTAAGACCCTTATTAAGTATGTGTGCATTCTCAGTGTCAGCCAAGTCCTTTCCTTCCAGGACAGCACAGATTTACAGGCAGGTAGAGTTTGACAAAAGGGCCATTAAAGGTTGTTTGGACTGAATATCTACTTTTCTAACAGAATAAATATACAGCATATTGGAGGAAAAGAACACGTTCAACGGAATTTCCCCAATTCATTATTAATAGTCTTCTAAAAACTTCTGACAAGGACGGATAACAAAGTAGTTTTGAAACCTGCATGACCATGCTGCCTTCAGGGTATGTGGGAAGAGAGAATGTCATGACTCAGCCACATTCATGGACAAAATGCATTATTTAGGCTGCATTCAGATTATCAGTCCAGGTACAGACACATTGAAATGCGTCAACTAAGACTTTTTCAGAATAATATTTCTATTAGCACATTTGTTTCAACAATGCATTACATGGTTCTGAAAAGTAAACAAAAAATAAGCTTGGGCTAAAGGATCCAGACTGATTTCCACATTATTGAAATCTCCTTAATGATCAATCTGCTTGACAAGGAGGCATCCAATGGGGGATCATTAACAGACGACAGAAAGAAGAGGGGCAGCGTTGTGAAGTGGCAGGGAGAGTTAATGTATGAAGGTGGTGAGGTTTTCTGTACGCATCTCTTGGCTGTTGCTTAAAGCAACAAGCATCTGCTCAGTTTCTGCCGAACAGATGCTTGTTAACACTGTGTCCTGCACATATGCTGTTAATACAGAACTGCCTGGACTGCATACTGAGCACAGTGACACATCGCTTCCTATGAGGTTTTATTTTCTTAACAACTTTAAACGTTTTATGTACATTTAAATGCTAAAGTCTTGGGTTGTGGTCTAATAGTCTGTTTTTCTTAGGAAGGTTCCTATCATGGTGAAATGACCCGGAAGTACCTAAGTATCAACCATGATGAGAGCTGTTTGAATCCTCTGATGATAGGAAAGCAGCTTTGACTTCTTCCAGTCAAAACTTCCAGTGGATCCTCTTTTACAAAAGGAAAGGACATAATGTCGTCCCACAATTCCTTGCGGCCAGAACATTTGAAGTCCCACGGAATTAACGGAAATAACCAATCATCATTGACAAACGCAGATCATGTGAGTTACTTACTTACTAATCTTCCAACAATATATTAGAGCAAAAGGCAAACTATGAACGTTATGATAGTAAAAGTAAAATCATCAAATAAAGACTACAGAAAATAGAAGTTACCCCACACTGTGACTTCGCACAGTGTAATCGTAACCCTGTTCTTAATCCTGTTCTTAATCCTCTGTCACATTTTTCATTTATCCTGTGACCAGTGGCGTCGCCTGGCCTGGACAATTCTCCCTCAATAATATATAATACATTAACCGTGCTTTACCTGAACCTCATCATGACACTGGAGAGGACGGCAGGATTGTAATTTCCCGTGTTCAGTGAATGCAATTATTATGTAAAAGATTATTTCCAAGGCACACCTTCATATGATCATTATAGTTATAAATAAAATAAGAGAATAAATGAAAAACAGTTATGATATACTATATGACAGTAAAACAAGAATACAGTTTAAAAGGGGAGTGATTTGTAAAATATCCATAAAGAAAAAGTAAATCTGTTTACAGTTCTGTTTCAAATGGATGTTGAGAGATGTATCCATAGATCTCTTCATGTTGCTCTCAAAGTGCACCAGATTGATGCTTTTAACTTCAATATTTAAAAATTGAAGTGAACCCTACATGTTTGAGCACCCTCTATGAAACGTCAAGCTACCCCACAGCACCCCCAAAGGAAAATCTCTGGCGCCGCCACTGTGGGCTAAGCCCAGAATGTTTCCAGGTCCAGGAAAAACCCCTGCCTGTGACGTTTATTGTGGAGGTAAAGGATAAGTGGTTAGGAAAAGACATAGGACCTGATTTTTGACAATTCGATTGTAGCTCTGTTCTCTAACAATTTCTTTGAATTTAGTTCTGTAAAGGCCCCAAAGTACATAACTCACAAGGCTGACTCAGTTAATCTGAATTCTACACTGTAAAATATTACCATGATTTCACAATATTTAGCTGTAATATTTTACAATAAATTACTGTTTTACCACTTTACAGTCTTTACCTGTAATGTTCACAATATAACACTGTAATTTAGAATTTCACAGTGAAATCAATACAGGCACAGTTAATTACTGTGAATGTACAGGATAAATGATTACCAGGATTTCACAACATGTTACTGTATTATTTCATAGTAAAATACTGTATTCAGACCATCCTCTGTGATAACACAACAAATTAAGTGATTTTCTTGCTTTTATCACTCTTGCTTGGCTTTAAATACTAATTTCTTTCTTTGGTGCAGGTTTTACTTAAATTGAAAGGGGCACCGCTGCATCTAATAATAATAATAATGCATTACATTTTTTATTAGAGCGCTTTTACAGGTGCTCAAAGCGCTTTACAAGTACACATTACACATATTAGACATGTAAGAGTCATTACTGCGGACATTACCCACAGGAGCAAATGCGGGTAAAGTGTCTTGCCCAAGGACACAACGGCCTGACGCAGTGGCGGCGGAGGCGGGATTCGAACTGGAGTTCACCAACGCCCCTTGATCTGCCTTCAAATAAACGATGCAACATATAAATCGATGTAACATTTAAATTGTTGTCTTGGCGTAGTGTTTTCAGGTGCATCCTGGGCATTAATCCTGAGACGGACTCGAAAGCCAAAAAGAGGCATGGCAATTTAAACCCCCATGTCAGCACATTCTTCAGAAAAATGGTTGACTTTGAGTGGATGTCTGTGTAGACATGTGTTAAGTGCTCCCCTCCTTGTTTTCTGTCTCCCTGGCTCCGCCTCTGCACAGGTGCACCTGGTCTGCCCCTGGCTCCACCTCTGCCCAGGTGCACCTGGTCTGCCCCTGGCTCCGCCTCTGCCCAGGTGTTCCAAATTCCACTCAGCCGTGTGTATATATAAAGAGAAGCTGGAGGAGAAGGATGTCTCGCCTATCCTAACGCCGGAGACACTGTCCTTAGAATACCTCTTTGCCATTCTGAGCTGTAGGCCATATTTTTGCAGATGTGTTTATGTTTAGCCTGGAGGACTTGGTAGTCCAGTTTTCGTGGCTTTATTTTGTTTCCCATAGGATTTATATTTGATTTTTGGTTAGGCGGGGGAGTTCTGGGTCCTACGGCCCGTGATGTGGCTGGCTCGGGTTCCCTCCTTCTGTTTGTTCCTTTTGGCCAGTCCTCCAGACCTCTTTTTGTTTCGCTTGTGTGAGCAAACGGCTGATTATCAATAAATGCTCGTTACCAAGTACCGGTTATTGGGTGTATTCTTTCATGTTGCGGGTCTCAGCACAAGCCACTACCGCAGAGTAGAGGTTGGGGCCGTAACAACATTTCCAAGACACTGTGAAATGTACTTTGCACTTCAATGGAGTAATACAAAGTTAAAATGGGCATTTTCTTTGTTTTTCTTTGTTGATTGAGCTGATTGAATTGTGTAGTTATGGTACAATCCCAGTCAAATTTACAATATATTATCGTATTATTTAGATTTGTATATTTACAGTAAATTACTGGCTACTGTGTTGCATTACTTCTACAGTAATAGTGTGAACATACAGTACAGGTAATTACTGTAATTTATGTACAGCAAGGTACCATAATACCACAGCTCTGTACTGCTATATCACAGTAATTCCATGGGCATGGCAACTGTAAAGTCACAGTATTTAGTTGTACTTTTATTCTAATTAACTGTAAAATATATACAGTAAATTACTGTGAAATATTTAGTCAATTACTGTGAAATTCATGCAACTAGTAGCCAGTAATTTACTGTAATTTTACAGCCAAACATGTTACAGTGTAGTATTTAGTAGTAAGTATGAAAACAAAAATATTCTCCCATGAAACTCGAATAGAATACATTTCCCATTTTTTATGAGACAGCTCAAACTCTTCCTGACAGCATGAATTACTTTCATGCGCTCACCTCCCTCAAACTCTGTCTGACAGTTGCCAGAGTTTTCCTTCAGGCTCTCTTCCTCGTTGATGATGATGTTCTCGATGTCCTTCATGGTCAGATGGTCGCGGAAGGCGTAGAACAGGATGTGTTTCAGCTCCTCCAGGGTGATCTTCTGCATGTCGAACTGCAGGGGAGAGATGAGAGCCGGGGATTAAAAAATGGACGGACTATTTTATTTTCACATTTAGGCGGCCCTATCATGCTCATTCAGGTTTTTATTTGAAAAGTCTTTCCACATGTTTCCATCCTTTAATGCTCATGGGCTTAACAGTGGTCTTCTAAATGATGGCCGTCCTGTTGAAAGCTTCCTCTGGAAGGTCGATCCTAACGTTTTGCTTTTTTTTGGTCGATTTGGTTGCCATATTTTGGTGTTGTGGTATGCAAATTATATTATTATTCACTTAGTATTAAGTTAAAGTAGAGTTACAGGCTTTGAGAATATTAAAACATTACAGCCTGTCCTCCTACAAAAAACGACCATATAGGCCGATTGTTCAAGCCCTTATTACGACCCAGAGACACGTTTTAAAGTGTATGTTGTTTCCAACCCTGTCTCCTAAAAATTACGTTCCCACAGAACCAAACTGCATTCTCAATTACGTTTATTTAGAAACGTATTTTCTCCCACGTTACGTTAGTTATGAACGTATCTTAAATACGTTTATTTTCTACATATCTTTGCCATTTATTGTCTTGCTTATAATAATGATAATAGTCATTTATAAATATCATTTTAGAGCACACATTTGAAATCGACAATCGGGCTCGATATATTGTTAAATTAAAATCAGTAGGCGAGGCTGTAATTTCGCCAGCTTTTACTCTCATGAGCGAGGCAGAAAATAATAGTTTTAACATTCCAAAACGCTGCTGTGTCGTTTATTGCACCTCAAACATTCAAACAAATCCAGAGTTACGTGTTTCTGTACTTCCTCTAAGAAGAAAGGACAGTAACAGAAGAACGTTTGTTTCCCCAAAAGTGGGCGGGACTGTAAAGTGACATAGATTGTACTCTAATCTATTATTCAAAACCATTCTATTTATTCTAACGTAAATTACAGGCCAGTGTTTTATCTTTTTATTTATTTGTTTTTACTTTAAATCGTATAATGTCGGACTTTTTTTGCCGTCTGTGAGGAAAATAAATGGGGCTTAGAGCCTCAAAATACTGAAATCTGTATTTTTTTAAATCTTTTTTTCCTTCTAATTTGTTATTCTTTTCTAAATAACACGCTGTTATTTACTCAACAATAACACACAATTATCCTTGTTTTTATTTATTCGTTTAATTCTATAATCTTGGGCTTTTTAGCCGTAAATAAAGTCACCGGAAACAGACCGGACATTTTGAGCAATACACACAACAAACCCACTGAACTGATTACCCAAGATCCTCAGCTTGAAGCTCGTTGATTGGATGTTTTAGCCGCAATGCACGCTGGGATGTGGTGTTAATAAGATATGATATCCGGAAAAAAAATCTGAGTTTAGGATGGCCGAAGACACTACCCATAATCCCCAGCTATCGTTTGGGACTACAGTCCCATTGACAAACCCCGTGATTAATCTTCAAGCTCTGGGATTGGATGTTGGAGTGGCAGTGCGCCAAGGTTACGCCGAGCGTCAAGCTTTTTGAAATGGAACGAAACCACGGCAGACTATTCAAAACTGGACTCGAACGCCCCCCGAGAACTACACATGCTGGCTATTGTGTTTCGCAACATGTTCTCTATGGCACGTCTACTGGGAATTGTAGTTTTAAAAGACGTTTTCGTTTTTCCCAAAATTAGAAGTTGACAGTATTAAACTGTGTACAGCCCTGGAGGTTTAGGCGATAGGAAACACATTGGTGTGTACACATTTAAAACATGTAATTACTACATGGGTGAAAATCGCTTGTATCCATAATGGGCAGCATTAATATATACCCACATATATTGGGTACAGCTCATTGTTACTTTGTAATTCTACTCCACTACAATTCAGAGGTTAACCTGGTATTTTTACTCCACTACATTTATTTTAGTTACTTTGCAGATTCTGATTAATGATGTGAAATATAAACAACCCTTAAATCAGACTTTAGTTACACCTGAGTAAAATTCAGGTAAGGTGATTGTCAAGTGCCAACAATCAGGAGAGATATTTGATAGTTGGTGCTTGAGAAGACTAAACATTTATCTGCAGATCTCTATAAAGTATATTAATTACTCGTTATTCTCTTCTAATAGTTCATTAAAAAAAACTGTATATAATGGCTATTTTGCACATCCCTTTCAAGATTTCAAGATTTTCAAAGGTTTATTGACATATCATATACACAACTATGGTGTAGTTATGCAATGAATGAAAAACTTGGGTCACAGGTTCCTCAACAGTGCATTACAAGACATCTATCAATGTGTGTATACCTCCACCATTAAACTGTCATATTCTGCACATTTCTTATACTATCTACATACATAAGAGTATCATTAATGTGTATAATATCAGTTAAAATAAGTGCTTCAACATAGTTAACATTGCAGGAAAGCAATATATTAGACGTTAAGTACTTTGTCAGGCTTAATATTTATCTGTAGATAGATACCCCCAAAGCTTTTTTCTTATTTGAAAGAAGACCTTAACCTAAAGTATTCTTTAATGTGTTAATAAAGGTTAATTAGTTTGTCTGTTTTGCACATCCTCATATTAATATCTTTGTACATCCGGCACTAAACTGTTTTATTGTAGAGATCACTTACAGTATCTTCTTGATTTTTTATATTCTATATTTCTATCATTGACCTTCTACTTTCCCCCTATGAAAGTATGTACTCTTAATAACTTTTTCATCAAATAACATTATTCAACAAAAATAACATTATTAAACAAAAATAATTCAATAACGTGCTTTAACCACTGTTAAAGTGCACACAAGGTACACACAGCATACTAATAATAACTTTGTATTATTAGTGTAGGACACTTATGTATGTATAACATCTGAAGATGTGTAGTTTTATTCATGTTTTTACATAATTTTACAGGATATTGCTATAGCCTACTATTTCTCATGTTTTACTTCTACACATTAATATCTGACGGACCACTATTGCGGTAAGCATGTTGTAACTTCCGGTTGTTGTTGTCATCTCTGGGTATCCCGTGTGCCTGTTCTGTTGCTGATAGCTTATTATCTTAATTTAATCGATCGTTTTAAAACTCTTGATCACGGCAACTGCCTGACGTTGTAATCACACGTTACTACAGCTTAAGCACTCACAACTCTCCTTCTCTTAGCGACTGTAACTCCACAGTTGCCTACACTCTTTTCGGGTTTGCTAACGGTAGCTACTTTAGCTTGATAGCTAGTAGGGCTGTAGCGATACACTAATCTCACGATACGATACGATACACAATATTCAGCTCACAATACGATATATATCACGATATTCAGCCAACAATACGATTCGATATAATTCGATACACTTATATCATTTTCTGAAAGATTTTAAAGGGACAGTGTGATTTTGGTGACATCTTGTGAGTGTTCCATTGACTTGGATTGAATTAATTCAACTGAAAACTGAAAGCATCAATTATACAATATGGCTCTGACAGAGAGTCTACAGCTTGCAAGTGCTGGACAAAATGAATCAAAAGATGTGGTGAGAAAATTAGTTTCATTTATTGAAACAGTGCAAACTGTAGCTGACAAGCCTTTGAAACGTAAGTACATAAAGTGCAGTATCACAATGGAGAATGGAGAATTAAAAGGTGCAGCAGGTGGCGGAACACGGGGGATTTGAATGGGACTTGTTAGAAATTAAAATCAATGTTTTGATGGCATAAAGTACCTTAAACATACCGTCAGTTTAAATGCTGTTTTATACTGAAAAAACAGAAGTTCTTGTGCACAACCAGTTGTTAAGCTTTTATTCTGAAAATCCTTCATCTCCGGTTAGCATTTAGCATGTGGCTAATATACCATTTACTATAGAGGTGAATTTAGTAGCGATATGACAAGGAGTGTTGCACACCGAAACCTACTGATTTCAACACTACAACTATAGACGTCGAGATATTATTATTGCTGAATATTAAATGAAGGTACAGTTTATTTGAATACGTTTGTTTACAGACGTGGGTAGCATGAGACAACATCCGTAACTACGGGAAATTATACCAGCCGTGAGGTATTTTTGGAGTATTGATTACAGCGTTTAAAATGTATTAAATGAAAAGTCATGCTCCCCCGGAAGAACATTTTGAATATTCCATATTTTAAAGCATCAATCTGATGCATTTTGAGATGCATTTTTTTGCCAACCTGGGGAGAGCTGGAGAAACTTAACTTCAGCCATGAGTCAAACATATTATGGCCTCCTTACTAAGTATTATCAGGGATGCAAACTCATCAGGTATGGAAAAGGTGACAAGGACCCGAGCCCCCCGACCCCACGGAATATCGGCTTTAAAATGAGGAATAACAGAGGATTTTAGCAGTCAGAACAACTAAAGCAGCAGTGTTAATAATAACAGAAACGCTAAAGAGTCACATCTAATAGAAATATATAAAAGCATTTATTTTAATCGTGTAGCAGTCAGTTTATAATTTTGGCAGCACTGTTGAGCATTTTGAAAATCTATTGTCATGCCTCTCTGCAAGGCTTAGTCTTTCTATCTTTATGGCATCTGGTGTAAAGTAACAAAATTCATAAACTCAAGTACTATACTTGGGTACAATTTTGAGATACTTGTACTTTATTTAAGTATTTCAATGTTTTGCTACTTTGTTCTTCTTCTCCTCTACAGTTCAGAGGTAAATGGTGTACTTTGACTCCACTACATGTATTAATACTAGGGCCGGGACTTTAACGCGTTAATTAAGATGAATTAATTACACAAAAATTAACGCGTTAAAAAAATTAACGCATTTTAATCGCACTTATTTTTGCACCGCGGAACGTTTCTCACTGGATGAGTTTCAGGCGTACCGATTATACTGGAGCACCAACTAACGTTCATGACTTCAGACAACAACAAACCACAGTGAACAACAGTGGGAAATGTTGTTTTAAAAAACGGACGGATGGAAGCGTCGATAAGAGCACGGTTGTGTGCAAATTATGCAAAAAGGAA